TTCAAAATTAAAAAGAAAATTAATACAATGCAAAAATTAATTTATTGGTGAAATTTTTTTCATTTTTTGTAAATTCGATTTGTTGACATTTAATTGTATGATAATATTTTCCATCGACTTTCATTTCTGAAAAAGTACATGAATCTTAAAAGTATATTTGTATAATTTTATTCTTCATATTACTGTGTAATTAAGAATATTTCAAACAAATAATAAGAATATTATAACTTTTGCTATAACACTACCTTTTGTATGGTCAAAGGCAAGACATACTACAAGCAATTGTTCTGTATATTCAGCTGCAGTTCTTGTGTATAATTAATTCTTGTGCTGTTTTGTACATTATTAACACTGTCTTTATTAACTCTGTGTTGTACGAACTTTATGTATGTCTTTCCTTAAATTACATAGCATATACACATCTCCTGACATTTGTTTCCATTCATTAATTCTTTATACTTCACAATTAAAGAAATAATTTAATTATATCGGCAGCGCGGCAGCCAGTAGCCATAATGCAAGGTAAGAATTATAAAGTACATTGAAACAATGATTTACACTACATTTTTCTTCCTTTTCCATTATCACGCTCTTTTTTCTTTTATGCTTAATTTTTTATTTAAGTTTCCCTAGCATTCAGTTTTTATCATTTCTATAACAAACAAGATAATCCATAACATAAGAATTTCCAATTCGTTTTTATATTTCGCACAATAAAACATATGTGATGTTCTGTTTAGCGACTTTTTAATTTGTTAAACGTTAAGTCGAAATTTAAGGTTTTGTGATATGTTTTTAATATTGTATTTTTCTACATTATAATTACAATTTATGTACTATTTTAACTTGATATGACAAAGTAAATACAGCTTTAAAAATGTACAATACCAGAAATAGAAGTATATTCAGTGAAAATGAATAAAAATTAAACATTATAAAATTGTTAAATATGAATTGTTGAGTTTCTTTCTTTCGGCCACATTTTTCTATAGTTTTATATAGAGTAGAATACAGCCATGATTTGTTGAGAATTAAATTGCATCAGTCTTTTGTATATATTTGCATTAAACGAATATTCTATCAAATGAATCAATCATTGCAATCATTGCTTAAATCATTCGTAAATGCTCCAAATTGTATATTTCATACAGCACCATCAAATCTTAGTTCCACCATTTTTCACTGTTTTTTCACAATGAATGTAAAATGTGCTTATGCAACTTTTTGTGCATTATGACCTGCAAAATTTCTACAGTGTTGATTTAGTAGTAATAACATTGTGTGTATTTTCATGTTACAAATGATGTGCATACCCAGAAATATACAAGCGTGATATTTAAAGCTGTATGAAAGAGTATATGCATGGAGTTGTTGTGGCTGTATGTTATAGTTTTCACATATAAATTAATACAGTTTGAAAGGTAAAATTACATTTTTTTCAATTGTATTGGATTCTTTTTATAACAGATAACAAAACGAAAGATATATTGCCCATGTAATTATCCTATCTATATTGTTATTCTTTTGTCATGTCTCATTTTTCTTTATTAATTTTCTATTGTAAGTGCACATGTTTTGAAAAAACTACTTATTTAATATAANACAGCCATGATTTGTTGAGAATTAAATTGCATCAGTCTTTTGTATATATTTGCATTAAACGAATATTCTATCAAATGAATCAATCATTGCAATCATTGCTTAAATCATTCGTAAATGCTCCAAATTGTATATTTCATACAGCACCATCAAATCTTAGTTCCACCATTTTTCACTGTTTTTTCACAATGAATGTAAAATGTGCTTATGCAACTTTTTGTGCATTATGACCTGCAAAATTTCTACAGTGTTGATTTAGTAGTAATAACATTGTGTGTATTTTCATGTTACAAATGATGTGCATACCCAGAAATATACAAGCGTGATATTTAAAGCTGTATGAAAGAGTATATGCATGGAGTTGTTGTGGCTGTATGTTATAGTTTTCACATATAAATTAATACAGTTTGAAAGGTAAAATTACATTTTTTTCAATTGTATTGGATTCTTTTTATAACAGATAACAAAACGAAAGATATATTGCCCATGTAATTATCCTATCTATATTGTTATTCTTTTGTCATGTCTCATTTTTCTTTATTAATTTTCTATTGTAAGTGCACATGTTTTGAAAAAACTACTTATTTAATATAATTTACCAGTTTATTTCTAGCGAAAGATTCAATTTATGAAACTTGTGTGAACGTCTGAATAAGTTCAAAGAAGTTGCTAGGTTTTTACCCTGCTAGATATTTTTTATATGACGAACTAACAGATTTTTGTGGCAAGTTGTTATAATGAATTTTTTGTACATGGGTATTGAAATGTTCTTTTCTAATTGGCATTTCATTATATATTATTCCTTGTGTTACAGTGCCCAACAGTCATCAGAAAATGCTGTTAAATCTGGACGCCATACATTAGGCAATCAGGTGATACGCAAGGGATACATGTGCATTCATAATCTTGGTATAATGAAAGGTGGATCCAGAGATTATTGGTTTGTCTTAACATCCGAGAGCATTTCCTGGTTCAAAGATGAAGAAGTAATTATTTTTATTATCGAAATATTGCATTGAATAATGAAGCATATATTTCACATGTATTGTTCTCGTTTTCAGGAACGTGAAAAGAAGTATATGCTACCTTTAGATGGCTTGAAATTGCGTGATCTGGAACAGGGATTTATGTCGCGCCGCCATTTGTTTGCATTGTTCAATCCAGAAGGCAGAAATGTATATAAGGATTACAAACAACTTGAACTGAGTTGTGAAACGCAGGACGATGTTGACTCCTGGAAGGCATCGTTCCTTAGAGCCGGTGTATATCCCGAAAAATCAACGGAGCAAACAAATGGAGAAGGAGAGGTGAGCTATTATACAATAACAATCAAAGTTAACGTTCTACGTATACATGTTCCATGTGTATCGTATTTTAGGAGACAGCACGATATATTGGTAAAATTAAACAATATCAAATTTATAAATCCATTTTAATTTTTGTATAATAATAAGTTATACTTTGATTTTGATTAAGACGAACGTAGATAATTATTATAAGTCGATGTACATTTTATTTATGTTTATTAGAAAAACTGGTTTTGATTTATTTTAGGATAAGCAGCGGGTGAGTTAGTACGAAAAATGTAAACAAAATGTATTTTATATCAAATTTTAATTGTGTGGTGGTGTGATACAATCTTAGGAAATAGAAAATACTTCTAACATCTTTATTGAACATTATAATTCCATTAATGTGACAAAGGATTCGTATCTAAGAAAAAAACTAATTCGATTTGAGTTTTGAAATGTAAACAAATTTGGGCTTATTACCACCTAATTATTAATTCTACAATGCAACAATGATTATCTTTTGAAGAATAATAGGTTCACTAATTTTAACATTATCCTTTCTTAAGTGCAGATAGCGTTTTTAACTTTCTTCAGAATTTAATTAAACTCTTGTATTGCGCATTTACAATTATTGAATGTTTTTTGCCTCTAATCAACTAAAGGAAGGATACGAGGTTGGTACGATTATAGAATGTTATAGATATGCAAGAATACACAACACCTACACAAGTATAGTACACCTCCACCCAGTTCTGCTTCAACTGCAAATACAAATACGCTATTAAGATATGTCTGTCTTTTTGTAAAAAATATTTTTTTCTATGTACTAACAGCATTTGCATTTAAACATTAAATCATTAACACTTTTATTATAGCAGTGATAGTTTTTTACAGGTTTTATTGTCTTATGTTTAAATATAATATAAATCTTAATTTTTATCGCTGTTATCATTAGCACATGAAACTTATAATTCTCACGATTATAGGGTGGATCAGAAGCTCAGTCATCTATGGATCCTCAATTGGAGCGTCAAGTGGAGACTATTAGGAATTTAGTAGATTCGTACATGAAAATTGTTACGAAAACTACCCGTGATCTGGTTCCAAAGTCAATTATGCATTTGATCATTAACAATGCCAAGGATTTCATTAATGGGGAGCTGTTGGCACATCTGTATGCGAGTGGCGATCAGGTAAATATTTTCGAAAAAAAACATTCTACTTAGTTACATTTTTCTATCATTAAATTCAATAATACAATCGCTATATCAGTGTTTGTTTTGATAATAATGTTCTAATGATACGCTAGTTAGTTTTTCTATCTGGATTTCAATAGTATCCTGTAGAGTAATAATGTTACCATGCTAGAGGTGACTCAAAAGTTCTGGGGAAAAGTAATGATATCACGCCCAGGGATGACTTGAGAGTTCCAAGGAAAAATAGTGTTGCCACGTCAGAGATTACCTCTAATTGCAAAGGATTACGTAACGACGTGCACAAAATTAATTTGATTTTCATTGCACGTAACGCTGGTAGCGATTGTGTTACGTTCGATCGTTCTTTTATAAGACATTGTGAAATGATCTAACTATGTATTTTCTTGTTTAAGATGCAACTAAATAATTATATAATTCATTGTATAATTACAGGCTTCAATGATGGAAGAATCACCCGAGGAAGCACAAAAACGGGAAGAAATGTTGCGCATGTACCACGCATGCAAAGAAGCTCTTCGGATCATTGGAGATGTTTCGATGGCCACGGTCTCCACCCCAGTGCCCCCGCCGGTGAAGAACGACTGGTTGGCGTCCGGCGAGAATCCAAGGTAACAATTATGTTATTATTCTCATGGTCGCTTATGCATTTAACTAATTTGGTATATTTCAATCTTGTACTGCCTGCTTTTGCCACATATACTTGAACACCGTTGAAACAGTCTTGGGTAAGAGCTACTACGTTTCTAATAAGTATATTCTCTCTTCTATTATTTTCAAGCGTAAAAAGGAATGTCTAATTATTTTTTCTGTATATACACTAATCGGGATGCTTCATGTGTTTTCTTCATTTCCAATTGAAGCCTTTCCGAGTTTTCAGTGCGTTTTGTATTCTTACATGCTTACTTGTTTATTAAAATATTATTTAATATTTTACACGCTGCAAACGTCTTCCACATTTCTTCTTAATCGTAACGTTTACATGAGCCTCTGAGAGTGCAAATTTTGGGATTCAGGTACTGCCTTTCTAATCTTATACCTCAAAGGGATTTCAAAGTTTTATTGAAAGTTAGAAACAATGTAACATTTCGTATAAAATTTCCTCTATACACTTTACTATTGAAGTGTTATTAATCTCTCTATGCTTACATTATGTACAATCTCAGATGTTCAAAGATACAATTATAATTATTTTAGTATCGTTGATTGAATGTTTGAAGTGCCATGATGTATTATTTGGATTAGGTAAGCCTGATGATTTTTTACTAACATAATCTTTGCGCTTGTTACAGGTTATCACCACCATCTCCTGGTGGTCCCAGACGTGGAGTGACACAGCCACCACCTCTTTCTAGTTCTCGAGCACCCCCACCGGTTCCAGCTGGTGGCCGGCCAGCACCGGCTATCCCCAACCGACCTGGACCCGGTGGACCACCACCGGCCCGTGCTACTCCTGCCCTACCGCCTCCACTAATACCATCGTAAGTACAACACTAGTTACAGGTTTTTTTTACCAGTAATATTATTTGCCAAGTCTGTATAACCCGACAAGTTAAAAAGGACCCCTAACAGAAAACTAATCTAATAACCCGAATGAAATATATTTGACATAAGTGAAATGCTTAATAACTATTATGTACATTGTATTCTCAATTTTAAGCCCTGCCTATAAAGACTATTTCCCACTTTTTTAACACAGACAATTACCAATATACAAATTTGATGTGTTGAACGTCTCTTCGAGAACTATCTCTTATATCTTGCAAGATCTGTTTAACAATTTACCTTGCGATATCAAGTCTCTTGAAATGAACAAAATAGGTTTTATTACACATTGTATACATTAATACATATATTCATGGTACACGATAGCGCACACTCCCTGCACAGTTCTGCATGGCAGGATCCTCTTTGAACTCGTCGGGTTGTAATGCAGGAACCGTTAAGAATATGCAAAATTGGAGGCACTTTTTACTATCAAGTACCTTTGAAATGTCAAGTCTCACGTTTAAGAAGTTCTGCACAACGTTCTGTTAGTTTTGTGTCCGAGAGAAAAACAGTTCTCTATGTTTTCTGTGTTAACGTGGTGAAGGTCCTTTTTCATTTTCGGTCTTTAAACCTAGTGAGCAAAAAATAAAAAAGATAAGAGAAAGACAAAAGAGATGTCAAACGTGGAAGTTTGCAGTCGCTTGTCTCTATAGCTTTGTGTGATCCGGGGCTTTGGTGCTAACATCACTTTTTATTGCAGGCGCCGACAATAAGTCTTCGCACTAACTCGCCTATTCCCTACTAATTAATATACATATATAATATATCGATTACATCTACTCAGTGTACATTTTACACGAAATACAATTTCCTAATGCTATATGTTTCTGTCTGCATATATTACAGATTACGTGATCACTGTTAATTAGGGGTGTGCGAGCCGCGCCATTGATTCGTCATTTAGTTTAGATTAACGCGGGGTTTGACAGACTGTTTGAAACAACGATTTCCATCATATTCAGGTTTCTTTTCGAGCGGTCCAATTATTTCGTAAGAACGACCAAGGATATCATTTTCCCGTGATTCGAATCCGTTTGCGACCTTGAGAGGCTCATTTCCGAAACGCCGTTATATGTACTAAGTTTCGGTGTCGCGTCGAGAAATACGTGCGGGGGCGAGCTTGCACCGCGAGACTTGTTCTGCACACCCCTAATTAAAATATCCTAATTGTCTACGATTGATCGGAAATTCATGAGAAATAAACTAGATATTTACGAATCACGCTCGTTAACGAACACGAGCCATATAATAAATATAATAGGTAGAGTGAATATATTTCTTTCATTGTAAATTAGTTCGACGGAATTGTACATGACGCTTGTATATACAACTAAAAATGTTGTAAAATAAAATGGTCCTGGGTTCTTATTCAGAGGTGGATAAGTATTCATTCGCTTACTAACAGCATGACATTTTACTTGAAAGGACGATAACGAAATAGCCAAACGATCACTTGCGATATGCGTTTCCGAGTGTTTTCCACGAACAGTCGAGTTCAAATGTTCTCCAAGCATTATGTAATTGAACGATACACGATGGTCTTGTAACACGTTTTACAATCGTAAGCTTTCCCTCTATCACCGTTGCTTTTCTATTTTCGTTTCTTCTATGAACTCTCCTGAAATCATTTCGAAATCTTGTCGATCATTAATTACGGACGGATGTGTCGGTGCCTGCATTATCAAATTTGTTCATCTTCATTCTTTTTTTTCCAATTGGGACATTTATCGTACAGTGTTACTAATGCGTGCCACGTGCTCCCATTACGTTTTCGATCTATAAATTTTCTGGGTTACTTCTTTAGCATGTACGCGCGGGTATATGTTCGGTTTGCAACTATGATTCACGGATGTGATCTTCTTGTTCAAATTATTACTTGCAAGGATTTCCATGCCCACCACTTACAATGGAGCATTGTTTCTTTAGGTAATTTCTGTTGTAAAAGATTCGAGGTTTTTCTATTATATTTAAAAAAAATCTTCCATAATTTCTTTTTTACTCAACAAACAACAAATTCCTATCTCTAATTAGATCAATTCACAATTGCAATTGTACGAGCAATTGAACTATTTTACTATACTTATTTTACTTTCTTCTTATGCAGTCGACCTTTAAATGTTCAGTCAATAAATACCGAATATCATTCAATACGTTGTAATCAGTATTACATAATTGTTACAATGAAATTCATATCTTGAGAATGTTATTTGTTTATGAAAGTGTTATTTATTGTGTTATATATATATATTTATATAAATTATTCACAGTTAAAAGTGTGCTTGTGCTTCTCCTCTGTGATTTGTTTTGATAAATATTTTCGAATGACTTGCTCTCTCTTGAAAAATGTTCTCAAACTATCTTTACAACGAGGAAGCATACCAGTTCGAACAAAATTCGTTCTCCGAACAAAACTCCATTTCTCAAACGATTACATATGACATAAAATTTACAAGACGCTGCAATCAAAAAATACTATTACATCCTAATTTATTTATTTATCACACCTTCTGTGCTTTTCATAAAATAATTCTCCCGCAAACGGAGAAACAAATATAATATCGCAAATAGCTGGGCGTAACATTAACGATTCATTTCGTCGAAATACGGTAAACGATCGCACCATTTGTTGGCAACATGAGAAGCATCTGATTACAAACGAAACATCTGAACAATAAAAAAAACACTGAATTTCAACGAAACCGAAAATGTTACGTCGATCACAGATGCCCGTTTCGATTAATCAATTTTATCGGGACGAACGTTATATTACCATTGAAAATGCTACGTTGCTTGCGTCGTTAAAAATCCCATGTCATATGTAACAAGCAGCTCGAGCAGAAATCCAGTAATCGCGAAGAGTCGCGAGAAGGCAATATAAGTCTCTGCAAGCAATAATCGCGTTAAGGAAGGGTTGCACGACCCGTCGAGACACCGTATATGTACACTGTGGCACCTGGCGGTTGTCGTCAGAATTGTTCTACGAAACGTAAACCGCCTTAGGTTTTCTAAACGTGAAAGTATGATACGTACGATACGGCATAGCAGGCAAGTCATCAAGCGAACAAATCAGCGATGAAAATGAGAGTTGTCCGTGGTGTTATGTTTAGTCGCGGGGGTGGTCTGCAGCAGAGGATTACGCAAGCCGCGACACAGGCCGCAGCAAATGCCGCCGTGAACGAGCTGATGGATGCATTCAAGATCAAGTAAATAGACCATAGCTGTCCATACTTTTCTATGACCGGCATATTATCTTTATACCCCCCCACCCCCCTCTCGCTCTTCTAACCACGATTTGCGATTAATGCGACTGGTATAACTCCTCGTTATGTTGCGCAAGTAGATTGGTAGACTGTTCAGGGTTCAGAGTTACCACTAATTCGATGTCTTTAATGTTTCTCCTCCCCGGATAATAGAACGTTTTGGAATAACAAATTGTTCCGCGTGGCCGCTATTGTATTTTCTTTTCCATTCTTTGCTCTCTCTTTCTTTCTCTCTCTCTATATATTATATGTCTTTCTATTTATCTAACTATCTGTGTCTCTTGCATGGTCCGAGAAAATTGAATTAACAGCGATTATTACGCCTACGAAGATGACATATTATCGAACACACCTGCACACAATACAAAAAAAAAAGAAGAAAACGATTGAGACGCACACGTGCGCCGGTCTGTTGTGTGCGCTTGTGTCGCATAACGTCGCGTAGGCGATTACGAAACGCGAAGGGTGTGCGACTCTGTATGTATTTTGTAAGACGATCCGCTTCTCGCGACCTTCCGTGTACAATTGCCGTGTATGTACGGCGCTTGTCGACGAGACCAGACGACAAACAAGCTTCCCAGAATTCACGAGCATTCTCGTACGAACGATAGAGATATCCAGGGACAAAAAAAGGGAGAACCGGCGCGGATGCCGTTCTCATCTCGCACCGAAGACGTGCCCGCGATCTTGACCGGTGCGACCGTGTAAAGAGGAGAGATCGAATTGCAATAGCCCCGCTCCCCCACCCCACTACCACCACCCATAGATGAAACGCGATCCAGTGAAACTATCCTGGAAAGTCTACCAAGAACAGTAAAAGCAAAACGAAACAAAAGAAAACTTTGTAACGCTATCGTGGTGTCGATTGAGGAGAGAAATTGTTTTTGTACGCGACGAATACGTTCACGTGCGATGATATGCAGGGCGTCCCGAAAATGTCTCGCAATCCGGAAATGGGAGGTTCCTGAGGTCATTTGAAGCAACTTTTTCCTTTGTGAAAATTTTCTCCGAGGCTTCGTCTACGAGTTATCGACGAAAAAACAGCGACCAATGAGAAGCGAGCCGGCTGGCGCGAGGCGCCCGCGCCAATGAGCGGAACTGAGCGCCAGTTGGCCGGGCCGCCCAACGCTGCGCAAGCTCGCCTCTCATTGGCCACCGTTTTTCGTTAATAACTCGCAAACGAAGCCGCCGATCGCATTTTCGCTAAGGAAAAAGTTGCTTCGAATGACCTCAGGAATCCTCTACTTGCGGATTGCGAGACATTTTTGGGACAACCTGTATATTATTCCGTGCGGGTCGGTTGCTTGAGAAATTCGTAAGGAGAGAGAACAAGAAATGTCATGCTGTTGGGGAAAAAGGTCGAGCAAACACACCCGTTTCGTTGTTGGTCAATTCTCGAATCGGCGCGAGCACGAGGAAGCATAGCTCTAGCGTCGTAACCGGCATAGCAAATAACACAACGTTCGATGCGACCGAATTTATTTTTTAAGCAACGCCCAGAGTACCGAGAGTCACTGTTTCTCTACCTCTTTAAGATGTTCACCATGTTTTTAGTTCCGTTCCTAGCCGTTCTAACGATTAAACGAAGAAGACACACAGACATACACACGCATACATACACACACACATACCGTATTATACATATATAAATATCTAGGAGAACAAGAATATAGTTGAGCATTCCCTACGGAATAAAATAACGACAGCAAACAGCAAGAAACTAAGAAACACGTGCTCAGACATAGGATGTGATATAGCGTAGATATGCTTCGAGGATTTTGCATGAAAATCCTGAGTCGCAAACTCACTTTCTTCGCGCGCTCTCTCTTCCTCTCTCACTCCTTTCCCTCTTACTCTCTCTCTCTCTCCTCTCTCTCTCTCTCTCTCTCTCTCTCTCTCTCTCTCTCCCCCTCTGGATAGGTCTAAAATAACGAGCGAACGAAAAGGAAGGGATCAGATCCGAGTAGTTTTAAGATGATAAAGAACGATCGGAGTAATTTTAATTAGCAATCATGTATCGTTAACGCAGTGTATAATGATTGTATATCACGCGGCGGCCGTTCAGGAGGCACCATTGTATACCGATCGAGATATTTCGTTGCTGTCACAGGCACCGAGACCGTACTTCACAGTTTAGTTGAGACTGTAATGTGTACATAAGGGAGGATTATACGACGCGGCACGTGTTTTCTCGCGGAACGACGGCTTCCGGTTGCACGCGTAGTACGCCCGGTCCTCGACTTCGTGTATCATATTGTTACGTATAAGTGGAAGATGTTTCGTCGTTGCGTGAAATATCGTTTCAAGTAATTTGGCAAGGGATCATCTTGGCGGAAGGCGGAGAAGTGGCCGGGTTATAACGTAGCGTATACGAAGTAGTAGTGAGTTTTTGTAATCGTGGAAATTACACGGTTGCGGACAAGTTTGCTGCGATACTTTTGGTTAAATTAACGTTTAAATTAACGGAGGATATTCGTTTGATGTTGTATTTAACGTTGGCGAGTCGTTGTTTATGGCAAACGTGCATGCGTCTATTTGATCGGTTGCTTGTCGTCGAAACCTGCGTGTCTCGGAGGCTCCGTTCATAAATTGTAATGCACCGGTTAATGGTTAACGAAATTAACGTTTATTAATATTTCTATTCGAGTTTCCTGAATACGGAGCTTTTGTGCTAGTCCGTGAACGAAGCAGTATTGAAAGAAAAGTCAGATTGTGGAATTAAATTCGAATCGCAAGGGAACTAAGTTTGATATTTATGTATTCGATATTTATACCGGTACAAAATCTTTTGGTAAATAAATCGTCAATGATTTGTTGTAATTGGAATTCGTTTCGAAGTCTTCTCGCCGATTAGAGACGACTGTAACGTGTCAGGCTGGTCGCGTAAAGCCGGGAAACGTGCGTAAGAAAAAAAAAAAGTCTTGCAAGAAAACCGTCAAGAACAATGGATTATGCTCCGCGAACCGTGAACCGGCGAGAAACAACAATAATGGAATTAAGCAGCGTTCTTACGAAAGCTGCAACAGATGGACACGTATCGGCTAATTAAGTTAGGAAAGTTGCAGCGTCTGCACGAGGGCCGGGGAAATCGAAAGATTACGCTCCCGGTAAACGGATTCGAAAAGTCAAAATTGAAACATCTTTCGACCGTATTTGTGTTCCTCGATTGGTAATTGTTTAAAGAATATATCGTCAAAAATTGCGAGATGCTGAAATTGCCGAAGACTGTGACAATTATTTAGCTAGACTGTACATTCGAATGCAAATTTGAAATTTTGCTAAACTGCTTGGAAACGTTAAAAATAAATATCAAAGCGTAGCTTCTATTCAGAATTTTTATACCAATTCATTGCACTGTATCGTAATTTTACAAATTATTTACAATTCTACTCTCACTTTCAATTTACAATCAATCATTTGCTATTTCATCGATCCGTTCTTCCTCCACACGTTTGTTTGTTCAATGCTACGGAATTTTTCTATGTTTTACGAATATCTTCAACAACGTTTAAACAATACGAATACATTCAGCCTATTCGATTGTACATAGAAACATAAAACATTCGGCAATGTTCGTTTCTCTTCGAATCGCCAACATTTCTTTCCGGCGTACGGTAATGTCTCCCTTACTGACGCTCAGGTTGTGCACAAAAATGGACAATTTGGGAACAGCAGATACGATTATTCGAGCCTTGCAGCTCGTTTTTATAGTTGTTGACAATTCGTGACTATAAATATGAACCGCAAGGATCGAATAATCGTCCAAATTGTCCATTTTTGTGGACAATCTGAGCGTCAATTAGAGAGACATTACTGTGTATCTTTGATTTAACAATTACAAACGTGAATTCGTACAATCGGTAAGCAGTCTAGCAACGAACCACGACGTTTCAACAGAGAGATTAATGCGCTGAACCGGTATCTCGTTCACCGATCGATCGATTCGAACAGATCCGGAGAAGATCCGACGACAAAAAATATCGAACTCGAGCTCTCTCCGTTTCCACCACGATTCTCCCTCCGGCAGTAGATTCGCAGCTGTTCCCCGAACAGAACGGCTTCGCGGTTCGATAATCGTTAATCGGAAGCCGGCGGGGTTCGCGCAATTAAAAAACGGTCGCGGAGCAGGCGATACTACGCGGCGACAGAGAGCAGAGCAGCAGCGGGGCTTTGATTCGTCGAACGGATCCGCGCAGTGACGCGCGGAAAGATCGAGGGCAATGATCGAAGTGCAATTACAAAAAGAAAATATTATTTTTCGTTACAGCAAACCGTCGAAGATCTCCTTGGGTAGATAAATCGCTTTAGAAGAGCATCGACGACGATGGACTCGCGTTCCCCGCGTCACTGCGCGTCTTCGCGTCGCTCGTTCCCACCTATCGATCGTTCGAGAGAGAGAAAAAAGAATGGAGCAAAAGGACAGGGAAAGAAAGGCGAAACGATTATCGGGAAAACGTGGTAACAATGCGGGCCAGTCTCGTGCGTCGAATACGAGGCGCAAAGATTGCGCTGTTCCGAGCGCGTTTGTAAATCTCTCCACCGTTCGTTTCTGTCGACGAATTAACGAGGAACGACTGTTATTTTATTGTAAAATCGTTGAATTCTAGACCACGTAGCATAGGGTGGGGCCTAATTCGCGACCTACTCGAGTTTCAAGCATGATTTTCCATCTCTTGGATCCTAGTTGCATATTCTTTCGTTTGGTCCATCGAACTCAATTTGTATCTTGGATTTTTGGAAGAAGGAACGACTTATTTTATTGTAAAATCGTTGAATTCTAGACTACGCAGCATAGGGTGGGGCCTAATTCGCGACGTACTTGAGTTTCAAGCATGATTTTCCATCTCTTGGATCCTAGTTGCATATTCTTTCGTTTGGTCCATCGAATTTAATTTCTAAGTCTTGGATTTTTGGAACGAGGAACCACTGTTATTTTATTGTAA